GTAAAAGTACCTTCAGATAAAACAACTTGAGTAAAAGTACAAAAGTATCGGGTCAAAAACTACTGAAGTACTGAGTAACGTATAGAAATGAGGAGTACATCCAGCATCTGTCAGCACAGGAGCTGAAGTCTGTACAGCTTTATTTTTCTTTTTTGGGATTACTTTGGTCTAAAATAAAATGCTAAAGCTCCAAACTCTCAGATGTGACCAATCACAGAGCAGCACAGACGTTGTCACTAAAACGAAACACAAAAAAGTAATTAATTATGAAATATGAACGGCTAAAATGCAGTAGATTATTTTACTCACTAATATACTTGAGAAGTAAAAGAATTTTACTTTTTTTGAAAATACTTTTAAAAAAAAATTAAAACTAACTACATTTTTTAAATTAAAAATTTTAAATGTAGGTGCTGGATGTGCTCCTCATTTCTACACATTACTCAGTACTTTGGTAGTTAATTTTATTTACAAATCCATTAATATTTTACTGAAGTACATGTTCTTGAGTAGTTTTTTAGTGTTCAGTGAGTCTCTCTCTCCCTTTATTCCATCCTCCATTCTTTATAGGAGACTCACTTTCAGTTCCTCAAAGAATCTGCAGCCACACCTCCAAAGTTCAGTCTTAGAAGCTGGTTTAGATTTTCTGCTTCTCACCATCCAAACATTCCTAAGTGCAGTCAATGAAAGCTTCGCCTCAGATGTCCAGTTTCAGGGTTCTAGTCTATGTTCTATTTTGTCTGCTTGTCCTCCTCGGTATTGTGAACTGTGGTACACAGTGAATTTTGACCGGTTTATTGTGAAATTTCCATTCAAACGCTGAAGGTCAGGAAATGAACTCGACCTCACTGTAGTTTTAAAACCACACGCAGGGCTGGTACTTTCAGCCCAACCGCAGTTTCCGTCTCTCAGCCTGACTGAACAGGCCTGCCTTCCACTTTTAGAAACGTGAGTGATGATAAATTACCGGCTTTTAGCAACACGCTGCTTTAACACCACGCCTCACTTTTATCACCTTTTTCACATGCAGACCAAATCCGGCCTTCAGCAGCTCCGCACTTCACACACCACAGCAGAGATATATATATGTATACACCATATATCCAAAAAAGGTAACTTTACAGGAGAAGGAAAAATCTTTATTTTTAATGGAAGTTAATAGAGAAATTATTTAGTCCAAGTAATTCTGATCAGCAGGGAATGTTAACACAATGAGCTCGTGATTTCACATTATAGCAAATGAGCACAACGGCAGTTTAGCCCCACCCACTCAGTCGACAGCAGTTTAGCCCCACCCACTCAGTCGACAGCAGTTTAGCCCCACCATTCAGCTACAGCAGTTCAGCTCCACCATTCAGCTACAGCAGTTTAGCTCCACCCATTCAGCTACAGCAGTTTAGCTCCACCATTCAGTCTACAGCAGTTTAGCTCCACCATTCAGCTACAGCAGTTTAGCCCCACCATTCAGCTACAGCAGTTTAGCCCCACCATTCAGTCTACAGCAGTTTAGCTCCACCATTCAGCTACAGCAGTTTAGCTCCACCATTCAGCTACAGCAGTTTAGCTCCACCATTCAGTCTACAGCAGTTTAGCTCCACCATTCAGCTACAGCAGTTTAGCTCCACCATTCAGCTACAGCAGTTTAGCTCCACCATTCAGCTACAGCAGTTTAGCTCCACCCATTCAGCTACAGCAGTTTAGCTCCACCATTCAGCTACAGCAGTTTAGCCCCACCCATTCAGCTACAGCAGTTTAGCTCCCCCCATTCAGCTACAGCAGTTTAGCTCCACCATTCAGTCTACAGCAGTTTAGCTCCACCATTCAGCTACAGCAGTTTAGCTCCACCATTCAGCTACAGCAGTTTAGCTCCACCATTCAGCTACAGCAGTTTAGCTCCACCATTCAGCTACAGCAGTTTAGCTCCACCATTCAGTCTACAGCAGTTTAGCTCCACCATTCAGCTACAGCAGTTTAGCTCCACCATTCAGCTACAGCAGTTTAGCTCCACCATTCAGCTACAGCAGTTTAGCTCCACCCATTCAGCTACAGCAGTTTAGCTCCACCATTCAGCTACAGCAGTTTAGCTCCACCATTCAGCTACAGCAGTTTAGCTCCACCATTCAGCTACAGCAGTTTAGCCCCACCATTCAGCTACAGCAGTTTAGCTCCACCATTCAGCTACAGCAGTTTAGCTCCACCATTCAGCTACAGCAGTTTAGCTCCACCATTCAGCCTACAGCAGTTTAGCTCCACCATTCAGCTACAGCAGTTTAGCTCCACCATTCAGCTACAGCAGTTTAGCTCCACCATTCAGCTACAGCAGTTTAGCTCCACCATTCAGTCTACAGCAGTTTAGCTCCACCATTCAGTCTACAGCAGTTCAGCTCCACCATTCAGCCTACAGCAGTTTAGCTCCACCATTCAGCTACAGCAGTTTAGCTCCACCATTCAGCTACAGCAGTTTAGCTCCACCATTCAGTCTACAGCAGTTTAGCCCCACCCATTCAGCTACAGCAGTTTAGCTCCACCATTCAGCTACAGCAGTTTAGCTCCACCATTCAGCTACAGCAGTTTAGCTCCACCCATTCAGCCTACAGCAGTTTAGCTCCACCCATTCAGCTACAGCAGTTTAGCCCACCCACTCAGCCTACAGCAGTTTAGCTCCACCATTCAGCTACAGCAGTTTAGCCCCGCCCATTCAGCCTACAGCAGTTTAGCTCCACCCATTCAGCCTACAGCAGTTTAGCTCCACCCATTCAGCCTACAGCAGTTTAGCTCCACCATTCAGCTACAGCAGTTTAGCTCCACCATTCAGCCTACAGCAGTTTAGCTCCACCCATTCAGCTACAGCAGTTTAGCTCCACCATTCAGCCTACAGCAGTTTAGCTCCACCCATTCAGCCTACAGCAGTTTAGCTCCACCATTCAGCCTACAGCAGTTTAGCCCCGCCCATTTAGCCTACAGCAGTTTAGCCCCACCATTCAGCCTACAGCAGTTTAGCTCCACCCATTCAGCCTACAGCAGTTTAGCTCCACCATTCAGCCTACAGCAGTTTAGCCCCGCCCATTTAGCCTACAGCAGTTTAGCTCCACCCATTCAGCTACAGCAGTTTAGCTCCACCATTCAGCTACAGCAGTTTAGCTCCACCCATTCAGCTACAGCAGTTTAGCTCCACCCATTCAGCTACAGCAGTTTAGCTCCACCATTCAGCTACAGCAGTTTAGCTCCACCATTCAGCTACAGCAGTTTAGCTCCACCCATTTAGCCTACAGCAGTTTAGCCCCACCATTCAGCCTACAGCAGTTTAGCTCCGCCCATTCAGCCTACAGCAGTTTAGCTCCACCCATTCAGCCTACAGCAGTTTAGCCCCCCCATTCAGCCTACAGCAGTTTAGCCCCGCCCATTCAGCCTACAGCAGTTTAGCTCCACCCATTCAGCCTACAGCAGTTTAGCCCCGCCCATTCAGCTACAGCAGTTTAGCTCCACCATTCAGCTACAGCAGTTAAGCTCCACCATTCAGCTACAGCAGTTTAGCTCCACCCATTCAGCTACAGCAGTTTAGCCCCGCCCATTCAGCTACAGCAGTTTAGCTCCACCATTCAGCCTACAGCAGTTTAGCCCCACCATTCAGCTACAGCAGTTTAGTTTGTGTGAGAATTGATTCCTGTAAAGAAACATCATGATCAGAAGTATCGATACTTCTGTATTGATCAGCCCATCTGTACAGGACGGTGCGTTAATAACTACAGGATAAACTCTGATCTACATGATGTAACACTATTAATTACCTCTGCAGTGTAATTAGTCTGTTAACAGTGTGTTTCACTGAGCTCTGTTGTAAGTAACACCCCAGTGAGCATCAGCTGAAACCGCAGTAATCAGCTGTTCACAGTTTAATGTACTGATTTACTCCATTAATTTCTGATAAGAAACAAAATAACAGAAACACCACATGACACACACTAATTGGCCACTTTATCAGAAACACATACCTCATATCAGCATAAATAAGAGACCCCCATACAGACCACCGCTGACCAGACTTCAGCGCAGCAGAGATAAACGAGCTCCCGCACAGGCGCGCTTAATTACGCATTATGGACAGAAACCAGTACATGAAGCAGACAGGCCCCATGTGAATAAATAAGTGCACCCACTGAGCTGAAACGGGGATGAAACGAGCATCCAGATGTTGAGCAGCAGCCCAGGTGTTGTCTGGAGGTCACCTTTCCACACCGATGATGCATGAATCTCACCATCATTACGAATGTGTGAGTGAACGCGCATTGATTTCGCCTGATTTAAATGTGGACATAATATATAATATATTACTAATCTATGACAGATTGCGGAAGGTAAATAAACAAAAAGAGTACTCGGCCCAGGTGTGTCCTGCATCTCACCTGTCCACCTTCACCTGTCCGCCCAAATTCCACCTACAGCATTATCATGAATAAATACATGAAGCCCAAATCTGTGACAAACTCACACACGCAGGTGAGAGCTGGAGTTAACCTGCATCCAGGTGTGCCGCAGCATCCAGCCAGGTACTGCAGCTCACCTGTTCGTACTAATGACCCAGAAGCTCATTATGAATAAGTGACCCTCACAGCTACACACAGTATAAAACAGTGCTAAACCTTTGCCCAGGTGTGCAGCAGCAGAGGTTACCTGTCCACAGTGATAACGCAGAAGGTCATTGTGAATAAATAAGTGAGCCTCACAGCCACATACAGCATCAAACAGGACAAGACCTGTATCCAGGTGTGGAGTTCACCACTGAATACCACCCCCCTAATTATGATAACCACCCAGGATAAAACAGGACTAAACCTGTATCCAGGCGTGCAGCAGCAGTGGCTCAGGTGAGTAGAGGAGCTCACCTGTTCACAGTGATGATCCAGAAGGTCACTGTGAATAAACAAGTGACCCTCACAGCCACGCATAGTATAAAATAGCACTAAAGCTGTATCCAGGTGTGCAGCAGAAGCAGCGCTCACCTGTCCACGCTGATGACGCAGAGGGTCATGATGGACGCGGTGCAGCACATGACGTCCATGGCGATGAAGATGTTGCAGAAGACCTGTCCGAAGAGCCACTGTCCGCCGGTCAGGTCGGTCACTATGGCGAAGGGCATGACCACCGTGGCCACGCTCAGGTCCGCCGCCGCGAGCGACACGAGCAGGTAGTTGGAGGGCTGCCGGAGCTTCTTCACCACGCACACCGCGATCACCACGAGCGCGTTCCCCATCACCGTCAGCGCCGACACGCAGCCCAGACACACGCCGATCACCACGCGCTCCAGCGCGCCGAAAACCAGCGGCTCCTCCGCGCACGAGGCGTTCCGCATGGCTGCGCGCGCGCTCTCCTCTCCCGCTCAGCTCCGCTCTGCACTGTGCGCGCGCTCCGAGAGGAAGGATAACAAAACTCTCTCTCTCTCTCTCTCTCTCTCTCTCTCACTTTTACTCATACATACATACGCGCGCGCAGAGAAGCACGAGAAGAGGAGAGAGAGGGAGGGAGGGAGAGAGAGAGAGAGAGAGAGAGAGAGAGACAGAGAGCGAGCGAGCGCGAGGGCGCGAGACTCTCCCGTTACGCGCGCGCGTCGTTTAGTCCATGGAGAACGGGGTAAAACAAAGAGGAGCGCGCAGAGGAACAGGACCAGAGAGACTGACAGACAGACTGACAGACTGACAGACAGACAGTGCAGGATGGTGTAAATGTGTGTATCTCTGTTATTCAGGGTGGTGAATGTAAACAGGCGTCAGTTTAAAGGCGTAAACAGCTGTTTACTATAAACATAAACAAAAATAAAGTTAGTTTATAGTAATCACAGATTTATATTTATACATTTATAAATTATATATTTATAAAGTGGGAAAGAAAAGTGAGAAGTATTAATATTGATCACTAAAAATAGATCTAATACACTAAACTCTCTCTCCCTCCCTCTCTTTCTCTCTCTCTCTGTCTCTCTCTCTATCTTTATCTCTCCCATCATCTCTCGCTCTCCCTCTCTCTCTCTGTCTCTCTCTCTCTCTCTCTTTGTCTCTCCCTTCATCTCTCTCTCTCTATCTTTATCTCTCCCTTCATCTCTCTCTCCCTCTCTCTATCCTTTCATCTCTCCCTCTCTCTCTCTCTCCCTCTCACTCTTTCTCTCTCTCTCTGTCTCTCTCTCTCTCTCTCTCTATCTTTATCGCTCCCTTCATCTCTCTCTCTCTCTCTCTCTCTCTCTCTCGCTCTCTATCTTTCTCTCTCTCTTCATCTCTCTCTCTCTTTACTTCTCTCTCTCTCTCTCTCTCTCTCTCTCTCTCTGACTGTACACACTCTGGTGGTGTTCTAATGCCCTGGCTGTGCTTTAGCGCCTCCTGTTGTTGGGTTTTGGAGCAGCATGTGTCTGCTGCCCTACTCTCTTAAAAAGGGCAGTTTTTAAGGGTTCTTTATTAAAGGCAGTGGTTCTATTTAGAACCTTGAACACTCAAGTAACCCTTTGTATGATTAAATGGATCTTTGCTAGTGAAATGGTTCTTTAGATTGATGGAGAATGTGCAGTAGATGGTTCTATGCAGAACCTTTTTGAAAATGGTTCTATGTTGTCACAGCAGCAGAACCCTTTTTGATACTATGTAGAACCAGCACATTCTGTATAAATCTGAAGAACAGTTTCACCACAGAAAGATCCATTAAAGCATGCAAAGTGTGTTTACTAAGAACGCCTGAAGAACCAGCTACACGAATCACAATAAATACAGACTTAGAACCGCTATAAAGAACCTGTAAACAACAACAACAACAACCAGTATACAGCAACTGAATAAACTACAATAACAAGTAGCTGATTGGTTGGCAGCCTGTGATGACATCATCTAATTTTATTAATTTCTTTCCTCGCTTTCTGTGTTATCTTTGTAACGACTCTTCATAGCTCTTTTTTAATGTATCATAATTTAAAAATTAAATATGGTTATAAATGTTGTGTATTGTGATGTGTGTATTGTGGAAGTGACACTTTGTGAAGTATCGCGATGTTATTTGATTACTGCCACATCGCACAGCCTTAGTCAGAGGTACTCTTATATGTGCTGCTACACAAAAGAGACAGTTTAATTAGTTTCTCAGCACTTTAACTTTACTTCTCTCACTCGTCTCCCCTCTTTATGACACATTAACATTCTCAGAGAGGAGCTAATCACAGTCTGGAGCCAATAAATTAAACTGTCAGCGCTGATCCTCCCCTAAAAAAAGCCCTTTGATCTGAAACTGAGAATAAACCGCCGTCTGGATTCCATAACCCCGCCCACGCTGCTCAGACGACTGGTTAATGTCCAAATTTAATCAATTATCAGCTTTAATAACTCATTTACTCCTGTTTACAAATCTACACATTTGATTATTCGTATTATTCAGATTACTCATTAGCATACGGACTCACCTGAATATGTATATGTAAATGTGGTCACTGGTCATTTATTGTTGTTATTGTTTTGTGATGTGTTCTCTTAAAACTTTCCACATATAATTCTCTTCTAAGTAATGTTTTATAATGTTCCATAATCAATAATCACATATTTCTTATCACAACATGTAGACAATTGTGTTTTTCAGATAAAATGATCTGTACAGCTGCTTATTTGGGAAATATGCACATATTTGTTAAAAAATATTAACATTAAAATAAATATAAATACACAAATAAAGGATATTTTGATTTGATGGATGTGACTGAGCTTCCAAACACCTCCTCGAGGAGGTCCAGTATTTATAGTTACCATCCAGTATCTGCTTTATCTAATCAATACTTCATTAAATTAAATCAGCTGATGGAAGTGAACAGATCCATGTGATGCTGAACTCCAGTGAGAAGCCAGGAACCAAACCTGTTCTTCTAACCTACATCCTCCTAACTTTACTCACAACACCACATTCTGACTACTGACTGCTGTATTTATGATTATAGCATCAGAATGAACAAAAATATAGTGTTTTTATGATAAATATAAATTTTAAAGCTGTACTATGTAAGGTTTGGGGATTTGGAGACCTTTGTACATATGAGCAGCCCCCTTACTGGGGCTGAAATGTTCCCACAACCTGGGCTGAAGTGTCCCCCCCTACCTTGGATAAGAAGCCCCCCTGTACCTGAGGTGAAATGTACCCCCTTCTCTGGGATGAAATGTCCACCCGACTTGGGATAAGAAGCCCTACAACCTAAGGTGAACCCCCCCCCACCACCTAGGGTGAAATATCCCCCTACCTGGAGTAAGAAGCCCCACAGCCTGGGGTGAAATGTCCTCCCTACGTGGGTCAAGAAGCCCCCCTACCTGGGGTAAAATGTCCTCCCACCTGGAGTAAGAAGCCCCACTACCTGGGGTGGTGTCCCCCCTTCCTGGGGTAAAAAGATACCCTACATGGGCTGAGAAGACCCCTACATGGAGCAGCAGAGGTGCATATTAGTGAAGAGTGGTTGGATTATAATATGATGTGATTGTTATATTGGATTTATTTGTAAGTTGAATAATTTATCATAAATTAGAGGTTAAACTCTTGTGCTTTAATGTCTCTCAGCGCTGTGCAGCCACGGTGACGGTGCGCTGACGGAGTGTAATGAGAGGAGCTGAAACGTGTCGCTCTACAGTGCAGTAATGATGATGGAGGAGAAGTGAAGGATGTGAAGGATGTGAAGTGAAGGGCCTGCAGGGCAGAGAGGACAGCGTGTTCCCAGACTGCTGTAGGTCAGTCCTGTAACACAGCAGCTGGGCCAGATCACCCAATCTAAACCCACACATACCACTCCGCTGACGCTCGGCCGAGCTCCTCTGATCCGGGTTTTGGTTCAGGCCTGTGGGCGGACCAGGGTGAGCGGTTTGCTTTATGCAAATTTGAACAGTATTTGCAACTGATGTGAGCTTTTACAGCACAAAAGAGCCAAAACTGTTGGCAACAACTGTTTATCTGAGCAGTGAGTGTGTTTCGCCAGTAAAGACACAATATAACACTGGAATAAACACAAACAGAAATACAGTAGTCATAGTGTGCCGTTATCTGTAAAGGTATGAATATGTAGGTCAGAAGAACATCGTTAGAAGAACCCAGGTGTGGTACCTGACTTCTCACTGCTCCCCTGCATCATATGGAACTGCTCAGTTCCATCAGCTGATTTAATTTAATGGAGTATTGATTAGATAAAGCAGGTATTGGATGGTAACTGTAAATACTGGACTTGTACTATAGACCTAATTTACAGTGAAATTTAACTGAACCACATGTACATTTAATGCATTTGTCTATTTTCTTTGAGCATGTTAATTTGCCTTTAGGTCAAAACAGCACAATATATCTAACACAGACTGTATAAACACAATATGACTGATTATAACTGTGTGTAAATAAAGTCTCATGTTCACTCATGTTCCTTAATTCACATTCATTTTAAACATGTTTATTTACTCCTCAAAGACACTGGAACAGAAGACAAAACTGACACTGGGACAGAAGTCAGGACTAAGACTGGGACAGGAGACAGGACTGACACTGGGACAGAAGACAGAACTAAGACTGGGACAGGAGACAGGACTGACAGTGGGACAGAAGACAGGACTAAGACCGGGACAGGAGACAGGACTGACACCGGGACAGGAGACGACTGACACTGGGATGGGAGACAGGACTGAGACTGGAATAGAAGACCGGACTGACACTGGGACAGGAGACAAGAATGACACTGGGACAGAAGATGACTGACCTTGGCATGGGAGATGGCACTGACACTGGGACAGAAGACAGGACTGACTCTGAGACATGAGATAGGACTGACCCTGGGACAGGAGACAGGACTTACACTGGGGCAGAAGACGACTGACACTGGGATAGGAGATGGGACCGACAGTGGGACAAAAGACAGGACTGACACTGGGATAAGAAATGGGACTGACACTGGGACAGAAGATGACTGACACTGAGATGGGAGATGGACTGACACTGGAATAGAAGACAGGACTGACACTGGGACAGGAGACGGGACTGACACTGGGACAGAAGATGACTAACACTGGGATGGGAGATGGGACTGACACTGGGACAGAAGACAACACTGACACTGAGATAAGAGATGGGACTGACACTGAGCTAGGAAATGGGACTGACACTGAGACAGAAGACAGGACTGACACTGGGACAGAAGACGGGACTGACACTGAGATAGGAGACGGGACTGACACTGGGACAGAAGACGGGACTGACACTGAGCTAGGAAATGGGACTGACACTGAGACAGAAGACAGGACTGACACTGGGACAGAAGACGGGACTGACACTGAGATAGGAGACGGGACTGACACTGAGCTAGGAAAT